GTACTACATCATATAGTTTTCGAATTCTTAGATTTTTCTCTATATTCTCCTAGTCTCTCAGTTCCTGTCTGGATTTTTATTCCTTCTGGTCTATCGCTGACATTTACACAAGCATCCTCAATTTCTTTCCACTGCTATTTTTCCAACAACCCCACATCCATCAAATGCTCAACAAATGCTACACAGTCTGACTCCTCTGTTTTTACACTTGGATTGGCTGACAGCTGCTAGAAAAGACTGCACTGCTCTTACACATTGGTGTGTCTTGAAACTGTTGGTCTCCAACCGTCAGCTGGATCTGCAGAACAATTAACCTTTTAGTTTGTCTTTGGTCAGCTCCTTTTCCTATTTTCTTTGGTAATTTATTCCCAATCTTCAAATCAAATTTCTAATTCAACTTCAATCTCTTATATACTGCTTCTTATGTGTTTGAGAACATTAAGGCCATCACGTAGTGGCAACCAACTTCCCAATTCCCTAATAACTATCTATTTTCATAGTTGTCTGTCCTCTTGTTTCAGCCAATCCATCTACCTATGATTCTGATCCCAATCCTCCTCCATCTTCAGGATCACTCTAGTAGCTGTGCCTTCACAGTATTCTATCTTCAAATATTCCTTCTCTGTATTCATGATCAAATCTTAAATCTCTCACTTTCAGTGATCCCATATGAAGACTGTGAAGTCACAAGCACATTCTACCACACATGGAAAATAATATAACAGAGAATCAGCATTTAGTCCAGTTATTTTCCTAATTTTTAAATGAAAATAGCTTATTTAATTATAAACTGAGAACCTTCAATATATGGAGAATTCACAGTTTTGGGCCAATGATTATATTTATGATCAAAGGACAAATTTTGGACTGTACAAATTAGGAAAGAAATTCATCAACTTTTCTTAAGAAAAAGGTAGGTGTTTTATTCATCTTCAGCACATTGGTGCTGTTAAAAATGTATGCAAGAATTAAAAGAAGAAAGAGATTAATATACATTTTGGGGAAAGGTGGCTCTTAAGGGGTATTGGAATAGAATAAAAGATGTTTGACAAACTAAACCCTAAACGAAATGTCATTTGCATTTTATCAACACTATTCTCATAATATTTATTGAAGAAGCCAAGATTATAGATTTCCTCCTTCCCTTTTCTTTTACAGAGACTTTTTTTTGAGCATTTTAAAGCTATAATTCACATACTATAAAATTCATTCTTTTAAAGTATGCAATTCACACATGAAGTACTTCAGAAAAACTTCCACTATTCATTTTTTATGCTATTGTCATGAGCTATTGTCATTGAGGATTTATGGGTTTTTATTTTTAAAGATAAGACTTTCCTACTAAACTAATTTCCATAAAAGATAATAACTTGAATTAGGAAAGTAGAAATGGGGTTGGGGGAAATGGACACATTTCAGAGTTAATTAAGCACTAGAATCAATACGACTTGGTGACTGGAGGGAAGGAATTGTGCTCAGTGGAGAAGGACTAGTAAAGGCCAATGCCCCCGTTTCTAGTCAGGGCAAGTACCAGGGAACTTATGTTGAGATATTTGTTCTACTAGTAGTTAGTCACAGAACCAATTCTCTCTTGATTTCATGATCATAAAGGCAAATCATCAGTATAACAGGGGATGCTTACTTTCTGTTTTCTGTGTTCTATGTCCATCTAAACTATGGAAGAGAGTATGAATCTCCATTCTCCTATTTCCAAGCAAAAAGCCCCACACAGATATAGTGGGTAGGTATATGTGACAGAGTCAGAATGAGAATCCTGGTATCTTAGATTCCTAATCCACTCACTTTTAGTTTCATGAGATACACTGTGTCCCTATGAGGTATACAACACAGGCATACATATGCTGTATGCATTAAGTTATATTACCTGATCAGGAATATGTGTGCTTACATGTTAACTCTGATCTAAAACTAACATATTAGGAGCAATAAATATTTCATTAGCAATTATTCTGCCTGCCCTTCTAAAGATTATAAGAATTTTTCTCTAGATAATTTAGATGGCTTAAGTCTCTTAAAAACAGCTACTCATGAAAATTGGAACGGATGCCATCTTTTTCCTTTAAAAAATTTCCCTATCTCAAGGACATTCTCTTCAAAAAGATAAATGATAATTCCACAGAAATGCCTGAGAATTAAAATTTATAGAGAATGAGTTTCTTGAATTTTTTACATTGGTTTTATGTCTCCAGAACAGAGGCCAGCAGATTAAGATCATAAAACTACCAACATTGTTGGTTTTGACAGTGTTGTATTAATAGCTTGCAGTAATTTTTTTTTCTATCTTCCATTGCAGATTTAAGATCTCCCCTTTCTGTGCAAAATTCTTTTGTCAAATATCCTTGTGAATTTTTTTAGGTACCTTAATGCCTTTTTTTGGGTATGGAGCTAGCCTTAAACATCTACCCACACAAGGCTAAGAAACTGCTTCACCCTTGGACTTAGAAGTTTAGAAATGTGTAATTACATTTCTATCCCCAATTCCTAGTACAGTGCCCGAGAAATTTTCTAAATAAATACTGGTTGAATGAATGATTTCTTCTTACTCTTAACACTTTTTTTCTGGGCCAGATTACCACATATGCTTGGTATGTAATCAGCAAATGTAAATAAACATAAAATTTAAATACACACATTGTACACAGAGAAAAATATTTTAAATGGCAAATATAATTTCATATTTCCTAGAGTTCACCCTATCATCACCAATGATATAGGGGCATTTATTATATCTATATACATGTGTGTAAATATAAATAGCTAAATATGAATATATTATTAACCAACTTAGAAAAAAATGCAAATATTAAACTAACTTTTTTGAATTTATTTTGATATTCATTTTTTACTTGTATATTCAGAGGACATTCATTAATTCAATTTAATATAACACAACATAATTCTGTATCACACAATGATATTTGATTACCGTAATGAAAACAGCAACTATAACAGATTTTGTTTATTGTAGTCACTGTTAATTTTAAGTGCTAACATTACTATAAATACTTAAACTCTAAAGTCAGAAAACTTTTTTCATTTATAAAAACTTGGATTACAAGTGAAAGGCATAAAATGTCAATCTTATTATAGAATAAGACTATTTGCGATAATGTTGCATAAGCATGTAAGTTGTTTTTATCATTTAACCAATCTATAACTGTGTTTATCATCTACTAAACAAAATGTCATTGAGAGTACTCAGACATATTTCCTCTCAGAATGAAGATCGTTACTTTTATTCTAAGAAATGAAAGTAAATTCAAGATCCTATGTTGCAATCATTAATTAGGGACACCAACATTTTCTTACAAAAATTGTACTTGACATTTCTTGTCATATGTTCCCTGGAGAGATCAGCCTGCCCTCCTCTAGCTTATAGTTCCAGAAATATTCTACAGCTTCTTAAGCTGAGTAGAGTGCCTCGATGACTCATATTTCTAGGAATATACCATCTTTCCCTTTTCCCTGTAAAATAATGTGTTCTCTTCCTGAAGAACATGATGAAGAAAGAAATATTAAAAATTGGGAGCTTAATTATATACAGTATATACAAAATAAAACATTAGAGACTCATATTTTGCCGTTTTTGGAAGAAAGGAAACTGTTTCTTTCCAAGGAAATCTTGGAAAGCTTTTCTCTGTGATTTAATGACAACATGATCCAAAGCCCAAGAAATCAGAAAAACAATCTTTACTAAGAAGCCAATGTAATTATCAAAAGTTAGACAAATAACAAAGACAGACTGAAATTACTAGCTTAGACTCAAATCACAAAATAGTCCTAACTTAAGATTCATTTTTAGGTTTAATGTCCATTATACAGAAATTTTCATACAGCAGAGATATAGTTAAATATACCAACCTGAGACAAAAACTGAAGTATCACAGACTAAACCACTGAATTGTATACGCAAGGGGTAAATGTCTGTCTCAATTATCTTTCCTGTTAATTATAAGCAAAGCACAAACTGAAACTGGGTTTAGAGATAATAATGCAAAATTTGGCTTATAATAGTGATGCTGATGAAGCAGACTTTATACTAACACAAAATCAAATTCTGGACAGAATACTAAAAAAAACCCAATTCCTCCAAAATGTACATAATTTGCAATTCTCAGTCTCAGATAAATGCAATTATCATCTTCTCATCTTAGGAGAAATCTCATCTCCTCAGGTAGAGGGATGTAGCCTTTCTGCATACTGTGCTAATCTGACCTTCAGTACAACACTGTAATGATAGCTTCATAAGGCATGTACTTAGTGCCTTGTCCTATGAAAACGAAAACATAGTTGCTTTATACCTTGTAGCGTGCATTTTTTCCTGCCTTTGTCCCGTGTTTAAATGTCCTTCTCGGCAGTTTTTCTAGCTGAATGAATTTCGAGAGGGGCCTAACCCAATATGTCTGCCTTCTAATAAGCCCTAGGGCATCAAATTTTTTTTATCAGAGGATCAAAGAGCACTGTCCCTGCTTTGCCATCCTCATCAGGAGTCAAAGCTACACTACAACCCACTAGAAAACTAAGAGGCAAAGGAGCCAGAGACTGAATAAAGCTTACTTTTTGCTAGCTATTTTGCTATCCACTTTAAAAATTAATTTCCAGTGTGTAATATTTCTTATAAAGTAGGCTAAATATTTTCAGACACTTCAAAACTTCATTTTAAAGGTTTTGACTCTACACATGGGAAGGATATACAGTAATTAATGCTAAAAGAACTAAAGGAAAATTTAAGTTTGATTCAGCTAAGTAACTTGAAGAACCCAGTAAGTCAGACTCTCAGAGCTAGTGGATACAAATTAAAGACTGTTTAATAAATCAATCTATTTGAAAATAATTTGCCAGCATACTAATTATTTGTATTAAAAGAGAAACAGATAAAACACAAGAAAATAAACCAAATGCAAATAGCAAAATAGTTTTTAGGGGTAGGAAAAAGGACTATGTAATGGGAAATGTCTACAGAAATAAACATATTTTACCTGTCATCATCCTGTGAGAATCGCCTTTGCAAATCCTCTTTCTTCCACTGTTCTTTTTCATTCCCTTGCTCAGGTATATCTTGTGTTTTTTCCTTGCCTCCTGATTCTCTGTTTTTTTCATTATTACTTGTTTTTATAATCTCTTTCCCTTTCCCATTCTCATTAATTCTTTCTTCCTTTACCTCCTCCTCCTCATGAACTATTTCTTCTTGTTTATTCCCTTCTTTCCCTCCCTCTTCTATTCCCTTTGGCCTTTGAAAGCAACACAAATCGAAGGCATGCAAATAAACACAAAAGAGAAAGGAAAAGTAAGAAAAGATGCATACAAAATTAAACAGAGAGGTAATGAAAACTACTAAAACATAAATAAAAATTAAATCTTTTAAATGTCGAAACTTTTTCCCAGTGTATACCAGAGAAGCACTGTGTAAAACACTGCATCATAATTGTTTTTTAAATCATATTTTCCTGTTACAAAGCTGCATGGAAAAAGTGATTTCTCCTTTTTTTTGATACAATAGAAGTAAAAAATTAATTTAGCTCAGGTGCCCATAAAATCTATAGATCAGGTGATGAACATAGACTATACTAACATGTATATTACCACTTATAAATTTTGAGAAGATGAGGAGGTTTTCCACGCATTTATAAAAGTTTCAGGAGGATAAAGAAGCATCATATTAAAAAAGGAATATTCTTATGTTTTCTGAATCACTGAAATATTAGGAAAATAAAAACCTCCAAGATATTATTTTTCATATTCCTTAGAACATTAAAAAAAAAATTCAAGTTTCCACAAAACTGTCACTTGAATTTCAGCAAAGATATAACAACAGAATTACTTCTTAAACAGCAAACATTAAAAAATAACGAACGATATCATTTCAAGTCATCGTGTAGGAAAATTGTTATACGTTCTATAAAACTCTCCTGTGCAAGAAGTTGGAAACGCAGACCAAAATATAATACAAAGTAATATGCATAGAAGTTCTTACCGCCTTAACCTTTAGAAATAAAGAATTTTACGTTTATCTAAAGAAAAATAAAGAGCTTCTAGTCTAGATTTAGAGGCGTTTCCTGTGAACGTCCCCTTACCTGATTTTCTTGTTTCCTCTTGGCCGTTCGGATTGGACAGACATGTAGCTTGTGCTGCTGAAACGAGAAGCGCTACTAGTCCTTGAAACCGCAGATATATCACTTACATCACTGTCCGAAGATTTAGTGGAAATATTATCTGCCCCTCTATGAGGATCCCATCCTGATCGATACTGTTAACACAGATTGACAAATACGCAGAAGTTGTCAGTATTACCACACACAGCAATTATTAGCTTCTCCTATTTCAGCACTTTATTGTCCACAGAGGATACTGCAAAACCCCCACTCAGTTGCATATAAAACAAAAGTGAATGGCTATTATCCTAAAAGAAAAATTCAATTTATAAGAAACCCTTGTTTTTAGCAAAGGCAATTACAGCATTTTCACCACACCCCAGTGAAGGCCATTAAAATAGTTTCACAACAGCAATGGCCTCAGGGAAGAACATTTAGGTAAAATCTGGGAAATAAACATTTGGCTTAATATAAGGGAGTAGAATTTTTTTTTTCTGAATAAAATTTGGAAAAAAAATATGATAAAGTTGCCATTGTCACTTATAAAAACCAATTTTGCAGCCATCAATTTTCTCTTTAATCCATTTTGTTTCACTGAAAACCTAGAGATAATACAAAATCTAATTATTAAAATACTAACTGTTTTTAGAATAGCCAAGAGAAAAGAGAAAGTTTTCTTTTTGAATGATGCTGGAATTTTGATGAATCCTAGAAATACTAGAAAAAGTCATTATTATTTAGAATAGTTCAAACTTCCTGGAATTGAAATAATTGGTTATCTGGCACAGGCAGGGTGCAGGGTGTTCTGGGTGTTCGAATATTCTGGTAAATCGAAAACCATCATAAATGCTTTATGTTAATGACATTGTGGGGTAAAAAAAGATAATAGACTTTGGAGTCTGGAAAGCCTGAAGTAAGGAAAATTCTTACTAGCTGGGTAAACTGGAGCAAATTATTTAAACTTTAAAAGCCTGTTTATAAAATAATAGGGATAATATCTTCCTTGCAGGGTTGTTTTGAAAATTATAAATACAGCAGACTCTTGAACAACACAGGGGTTAGCAAATTTACCCCCCACAGAATTGAAAATCAGTGTATAACTTTTGACTCCCCTAAAACTTAACTACTAATCTCCTACTGTTGCCTGGATCCTTATCAATAAATAACATAAACAGTCAATTAACATGTATTTTGTATGTTACATGTATTATATACTATATTCTTACAATAAAGTAAGCTAGAGAAAAGATTTTATTAAGAAGATCATAAGGGAAATACATTTACAGTATTTATTGAAAAAAATATAAAATATACATATAAGTGGATCTGGACAGTTCAAACCAGTGCTGTTCAAATGTAAACTGTAATACATGTCGGGTATTTGGCATAATGTAAATAAATGCCAGTATTATTCTTGTCCCTCCAGTTGTTACTGGGGTAAGAGAATATCTGCTGATAGATTTTTCTTTAACTATATAGGCACTTCAAACATACTACTGAAATATCCTTATCTAATCAATTTTGCAATGGAGATTTTTCAAATCCTAGAGCTTGGTAAATTTCAAAAGGCCTTGGGAAGATGATTATCTTATATAGATGCCTATTAAATGCAAACATATTGGCTAAGATAAAATGAATTGTACTGGGGTCTAGTATGAACCTTAGATTCAAAATGACCTGTTTTTTTCCCCAGGATCTCCCAGTATCTAATTATATATTTTTGAGTTAACTGATCCTTTTCTTCAAATGTAAACAAAGGGATTATTTCTAAGGCTCCATAACATTTTAAAAATCAAATCCTTAATCTACAAATATACATTCAAACTAGGTGAAATGTTGGCCTTTCTTAGTCCATTTTAACTTTCTACTTTGTTGGATAAACTCTCCATTACCATAAAGAATACAATTAAATTCTTCAAAAAGTCATTCTTTTTTTTTCAGGAAATATCTATGTAAATAGAACTCTCATGTTTTATTTTGAAAGGAAAATTATTTATTTACAGTGGATTTATTTGCAGAACATTTAGTCCACGATATTCTTGTTCAAATTAAAGTTATTTAAAACTATCAAAAACATGTTACTTTAAATGAAAATGTTTTCAGCCATTGACTAGAATAGCATTTCAATAAATGGATCAACATTATCTATTTTAGATATGTATATACATACTGGCTAACATAGAATGTGTGTATATATGTATATATGTATATATACATAAACATATGTATATATATATATATATATATATATATGTACACATAATACATGTTTATATGTTTCACCAAATTCTTTAAAAGTAAATTTAATATCAAGTTGAGACATAAGTGAAAGTCATTTTATTTATATATTTTTTGGACATTTCATTTATATGAAAAATGAATGTTTCAAGAAAATTTTCAAAACCACTAAACTGTTCAATACATATTGTACTGTATATGACAGACTTTATTTTTCTAATTCTTATAATTTATAATAAAGAAGAGAAGCAGCCTGCTATATCTTTTAAAATAATTTATCATTGCATAGATACACAGTTTTGGTATTATATTTTTTTCTCTGAAGCAGTTTTGGTATATTTTTTTCCTTTGCTTTTGTTCATGGGACTATAATATCATCCAAATTCAAATCTCTAGGAGGTAGTAAGGCTAGTAATACAATCATTATGAGCATATGCTGTGGAGGGAGACTGACTCAGTGGTCTGAATCCTGGCTACATAAATTATTGGGCTTGTGATCTTGGGCTAATTGTTTCTACGAGTTCCAGTCTTTTATCTGATATAACGTGGATAACAATCATACCCATTTCCTAAGCTAGCTGCAAGGATTAAATAAGATAATATATGCAAAGCACTTAGCACAATATCGGATTCATAAAAAGTGTTTCATAAATGACAAATGATGACAATGATGATGATGATGATGATTAGATAGTAGCTAAGTACTGGCTTGGTATCAATTCTAGGAATATCTTTACCAAAATAAATATTAGGTCGAAATACGCAACAATAAATATATTATTTTAAGACTGCTCTAATCTGTAGGAAAAATATAACTATTTCTACATATCCTTAATGGATTTGTGTCAAAAATATGTTCATAGAGCACAATCTAAACATTGAACCAAACTTTTTCACTAACTCCCAGTGTGTCGTCAGGCCTCACCTTCCGCATTTGGCCAGGTTCATCTATGTCCCATCAACTTACAGGGAATTGATGACTTGCAACCGCAGGGCGAGAAATAGCTCTATCTCTGCAGGAAATATATGACACTTCTTGGCTAACACAGAGACTCATTTTGTTTCTGGTACTTTATCCTGATGTCCAGAGCTCCTTGGTACCCATTTATTCCATGTCCCCTGGACTGCTTGCCTGATTTGCTTTGCCTTCATTTCTAAATCATAGCCGCATAGCTGACTTTTGAACTTCAGTAGTTAGGATTCTGACTGTGCACTCTGGCCTTTTTCTTTTTAGGTGGTCTTTTGATCCTGTTGCTATGACTCGTAAGTGCCTACAGGCCAGACTAAGGCTTAAGAATTTGTTTTTTTAAAACACGCATGGTGTACATTGTACATAGCTAAGACTTCTCAGATAATCTAATCTAGTTTGCTGAGCTAAAATTTTGGATATGCAAAATTTAAGGAAAAAATAAGATTCTATATGCTATAGCTTTATGCCTTTTATATAATTCATCACAGGATACCTCTTGTTATAGGTGTGTGTGTGTGTGTGTTTGTGTGTGTGTGTTCATGTTTAATTTTCAAACCCTCTATTAGAATATAAACTCCTAAAGGCCAGGACAATATCTCCCTTATCTTTGTAACTCTCTTAGCACGTAAGAGTCAAATATTTCATTTAATTTAAACTCTGAAGTTTACTTAGTTTTCATACCAGGAAGACAAGGATAAATCATCCCATTAAGGATTATTGTGAGGAGCAAGAAATAAGATACTCAAAATACCCAATAGTGCATTTAGCATACAGCAGATGCTCATTTCCGGTGCCTAAAGCAGGAGGTCACTAAATAGAAAAACAGAGTGTAACAATTTACATAAAGAAAAAAAATAAAGATTAGTCCAAATCTCTAGTCTGATGGTGATTCTGCTATCTACTCAAGACTTCACCAAATGCATTTCTCTGTCTACTTCCTAGCAACTCAGCATGCTTACCTTTGGGATAAAGCTCAGGTGTTCCTTACAAATAGACATATGATAAACAGAATGAAATTTGGAAAGTAAAAAAAAATTTTTTATAAATAAAACTTCAGAACTTACTTTAAACATATTTACAGTATAACAGCTTCATATATAAAGCTCACAAAAAAGCCCGGAAATCAAAGTAGTAAATGACCTAAAACTAGAATTTACTTTTTAAATGTTTTTTTTTTTTGCTCTTTCTAAATGTTTACTTGCTTATCCTAAAGTATAATAAAAAGTTATCTACTTTAACAGTGAGATAGAAACAGCTAAATTATCATTATACCAAGGTAAAGAGTTACAATGTGAATAAGTAAGTTCCTTTATTTAGGAAATAGTTGGTGCTGTCTTGGCACTATACAATAAACAATGTTTTAAAGAATTAGTATACATTAGTTTACAGATGATAGATGAACAATGAATGATATGTTCATCATTCTCTTTAATGGAACAAAAACAAAGATTTATTGCGTAGAATTATAGGATCCCAGCTGAAAACTGTGCTCTGATTGGAGATGATGAAGATCTTGTAAGAAGAGAGCGAGGACGCTTTCCCGACAATATTTTGAAGTTTTGTACGTTACTATCAAGCAGGTCATGAGCTAAAAAAAAAAACCTGACAGGAAATTATTCTTGAGGATGATCCAGTCTCTACGGAGTTCCTAAGTGGCCTGGGAAAGTTAATGTTCCCCCTCTTCCCCTAACATTAGCAGAATGTAACAGCATATCTGCAAAGCTCTACTGAAAGGAAAGTTTTAATTAAAATTTTAGAATAACAATCCTGAGAAAAAAGTGTATTCGAATTTTTAAAATAAAATGTTCATTTTCTCCAGTATACTCATTTGAAGTTCTTAGGTTACTTAATTTCCTAGTTTGATTTCTCTACAGCATCTCAGCAACTCAGGCTGTTTGAGCTTTGTACATGAACTTATCAGGCAAAGCGTGGGGGTGGAATTATGAG